TTCTCCAAGCATTCTCCTTCCTTCAATCTCATTGATAACATTTTCCTTTTCAAAAACAATTGTCCTGGTAGGCCCTTCTTCTCAAACTTTTCTTCTAGGGTTTTCCACATATCATATGCTCTTTCTTTATCTCGTAGACATTCCAGTTGGGTGTCTGAGACACACTGGACAATCAACGATTTCGATTTCGATTGTGTAGAATGCTTTGCTCTCACTGCTTCGGAAGTCAAAGTGATGCAACTGAAAACTAATCGAGTACTAATCCTGGTTTGTAAAAAATGTGCTAATGAACCTACACTAAATTTGAATGCCAAAATGAATTCCATGGAGAATCTAATTTTAGACGAACTCAAAAAAATTAATAAAACTGTGCAAACACAGAATGAAAAAATTCAACTACAGGGTGAAATAATAAATAAACTGGTTCAAGAAACAGCAAAAAAGTACGAAAATCATAATACCTATGCAGCAGCTGCATCTAGGAGTACAGAAACACTAGTGATAAAACCCAAAGAGAAACAGGACAGTAATCTAACAAAAAATGATTTGAAAGACGCAATTGATCCAAAAAAATCAGCAATGGCGATCGAAAATATCAGGGAAGGAAAAGAGGGAACAGTTATCATAAACTGCAGTAATACAAATACAAAGGCGAAAATAAGACAAAAAGTGGAAACTGAACTTGGGAATAAATACAGCATCAAGGACGGGGTACAAAAAAATCCTAAAATAATTATACGTGGGGTGGAGGAAGAACTTATTGATGGGGAAGATAAGTCTATCATTGATTGTTTGGTGGAACAAAACGACTTAGACATCTCAGATACGTCAGTCTTCCAAGTAGTGTCTAAATATAAGCAAAAAGATAAAATAAACAAGGGAAACATAATTCTTACCCTGAGTGTTGAACTGAAAGATAAAATATGTCAAATGGGAAAACTAAACATTGGATGGCGAAGGTGTATGACCCATGAGTATTTCTCAATAATGAGATGTTATCAATGTGCAAGATATGGACATAAAGCAAGTGACTGCAAAAATAATGTTGTCTGTTACAAATGTGCCGGGCCTCACAAAACGAATGAATGTGTCAGTGAAACCTTGAAATGTATCAACTGTGAAGAAACAAACAAAAGACTGAAAAAATCACTGCAATCCAACCATTCTGCTACTGATTCAGAGTGTCCATGTCTCAAGAGAATCTTAGGATTGGAAGCTAACAAAACTAAGCGTTCCTAGCAATCACCGATCGTGGAAGCTCCAGATATGACTGGGTTTAAATTATCCCTATATCATCAAAATGTACAAGGTATTTCAAACTGTATAAATAACATTGCAGTGATAGCTAATGAATTGAATGTGAATCTTATTGCGGTCACGGAACACTGGCAATCTTCAAGTAGTATAGGGTCATACCAACTAGAGAATTTCAACTTGGTGTCGTCGTTCTGTCGATCTGCTGATAATGCTCATGGTGGTGTTGCTCTATATGCTCATAACTCTCTCAAATCCTTCCAAAGACTTGACATCAATGCTATTTGTGAGGAATATATTTTTGAATGCTCTGCAGTGGAATTTAGGGTCAATAACACTTATTATGTTATATGTGTCGTGTATAAACCTACTGCAACTAATTTAACTTGCTTCGTAGATAAATTGGACAAATTATTGGAAATCGCCACTGAAGATAATAAAACAGTTATAGTTGCTGGAGATTTCAACATCGACATGTTAACAACTGCAAAAAATCTGAAAAATAGAGATATTATGAATAACCTACTGAATTGTTATAATATGAGAGCAGTAATACAAGAACCAACAAGAGTCACCAAACATAGCTCAACCTGTTTAGACAATATTCTCGTTTCAAATCTATTGATATATCACTCTGAAGTTCTAAATACAAACATATCAGATCACCATGGTCAACATATATGTATAAATATAGATAGTAGAAACTCCCAAGAAACTTATGAGTACAAAAGATTTTTTGGAACAAAAAATTATGAACGTTTATTCACACTTCTCGAAAATGAAACTTGGTACACAGTTTATGAAGCCCGATCGGTTGATGATATGTACAATAGTTTCATATTTTCCCTTTCAGGTTTTTTTAATATCGCATTTCCGTTAAAAAGGGTCAGAGTAACCAAAAACTCAAAACCAAAATGGATGACACAAAATATTTTAGATGCTAAAAATACTCTAAACCTCTGCTCAGAACTTTATCAGCACAACCAAATAACAAAACAAGTTTTCACTGACCATAAACAAGCATATTCCAATCTACTTCTGAATGAGAAAAAAAATACTATGGCGAGAAGATTTCACAGTCAGATAACAAAACCAAAACTATCTGGAGTATTGTTAATACTGAAACGGGCAAGAAAAAAGAATCTACATCAAGCTTCAATGGCATAAAAAATGAAAATGATGAATTGATAACATCACCAAAACAGGCAAGTAATCTTTTCAATCAATATTTCACGACTGTGGCAGCTCAAATGGTGGGAGATCTCCCAAAAAATATGGATGCACATCAAAGAAATATAAGAGAAAATCTGAACTCTATCTATTTGTCAGAAGTCACACAAGAAGAAATTTTAGAGATTATATCCTGCATGAAAAACAAGTACTCTTCAGGTGATGATAATATAAGTAACGTCTTGCTGAAAAAAATTGGAAAATTCATAGTGGAGCCCATAACGTATACTCTTAATGAATCAATCAGATTTGGTATATTTCCCTCTAGGCTGAAAACTGCAATCGTCAAACCCCTTTTTAAAAAAGGGGACCCTCAACTAATTGAAAACCATCGTCCTATAAGCATGCTTTCTAGTTTTTCAAAACTCTTTGAAATTGTAATGTGCAGACGAATAATCCCCTTTTTAAATCTGAATAATATAATTTCTAGCTGTCAACACGGTTTTCAGGCAGGTAAATCCACCACAACAGCTATATTTTCTTTCACGGAGAGAGTACTCAGTTTTTTAGACCAGGGTTTGATTGTGCATGGTATTTTTCTGGACCTCTCGAAGGCTTTCGACTGTGTCAATCATGAACTGCTTTTGAGCAAAATGGAAAAAATTGGTATTCGCGGCGTAGCAAATGAATGGTTCAGATCATATCTTACTGGTAGAACACAAAAGGTTATTTTACAAAATGGTAATACTGAGCATTTCTCAGATGAAGCAACAATACACTTAGGAGTGCCCCAGGGCAGTGTACTTGGTCCAATACTGTTCATATTGTATGTCAACGATATGTCGAACCTGGTAGATGATCCTCAAATTTTATTAACCAACTATGCCGACGATACGAATGTACTAATAGCTGGAAAGCAGTACGAGGATTTATGTGAAAAAACAAACGGTATTACAAAAATAATTGCTCACTGGTTTGAAAACAACGCCCTTTTACTGAACACAAACAAAACGAATGCTGTCTTATTTAGACATAGTCGAAATATCAACGATTTTCCCTCACATATCCTCGTAAATGATACAGAAATAACATATAATGCTCATACGAAGTTCCTTGGAATCACAATTGATCAAAATATGAATTGGATAAATCATGTACAACTGTTATGTGGCAAACTGAATAGATCCTGTTACTCTCTCAGAGAGCTAAGAAAAGTTGTTAATAGCGATACTCTACTAACAGCATACTTTGGTCATTTCTACTCATTAATGAGCTATGGAATATTATTTTGGGGGGGTTCACATTATCAAGAGGTTTTTACTGTTCAAAAGAGAGCAACCAGAATATTATGTGGCTTAAAAATTGGTGACTCTTGTAGGGGGCATTTCAGAAATTTGAAACTATTAACATTGCCTGCAGTGTATGTACTTGAATGTCTTAATTTTGTCTATAAAAACAAACACCTGTTCAATAATTATGTTAATGTGAATACTTATATAACTAGAAATAAATACATGTTTTGTTATCCTCCCCATACAACCTCGCTCATGGAAAAAGGATGTCTCTATAAGTGTCTAGAATTATATAATTTATTACCAAACAACATAAAGGAAATTAAAACTTTTTATATTTTTAAGAAATCAATTAAGAAATTATTAGTCACTGCAGAGCCCTATCGATTGGAAGATATAAATCAAATGACATTCATTTAGTTGACATTTTTTAATGGAGTTGAAAGCCTCTGTTACATTGTATTTTTTTCCTCGATTTATGCTTGTTTTTGGGACCAGTAAATTCTTTTTCAGAATATGGCATGGTTCCGTGGGTTTTATCGGGTTTTCCTGCGGATGCAAAGCAAATGCACCATGCTTCATTCAGCACAATGAAAGTCGCCCCGTTGCGCATTGGCCACATCATACATATTCTGAAAGGTCTTTTCTGTCCTGTCTTACCTGTGTTTTTCTTTTTTTAATGGATTAGGTTCTTCGGAAATTCGACTTGTACCACACACAATTATTATAGTTCTCTGTAATAACATGCTGTTATTGGTACTCAATAAATTCTATTCTATTCTATTCTATTCTATCATTCTTCTCGAATATACTCCTGTTTTCTGCAGTCATAACAGAGGTGTCCATATCATTCTGAGCATATTGTAGGACCCCTTGTTCTGCCAATGCTAATTCCATCCTAAATTTCCAATTGTGATAATTTTCACCATTAAGCAAATCTACATTGATTGATCTAATTGTATTTTGGGCCATTTTGTACTTGTATCTTTTCCAAATCACGTTTTGATAACCTCTTTGATAACTTCACTTTTTATCTCAACTTTATCCAATTAATCTTCAGACATCCAGCTTACCTGGGCCCATAACCTTTTAGGTTTTTCATTAATAAATCCAGGTTTATTCGTAGTGTTATTTATTTATCCCAGTAGAACCATTAAATACATCATTTGCATCATTTGTTTCTTTACTTTCTATTCATAATTCTTTCATCATGGATCTATCATACAACCACTACTTTCTGTATCCATCAAGCACAGACACACAAGAAGCTAACGACATAGACTTATGACAGCTGACATCTCATCAGTGTTGCCACACTTTAGGTAGGATTTTAGGGTATATCTAACATATATTAGTATTATATTAAATATATTTAATTATTATGTAATTAATTAATTTTTTTTTTTTGCTACTGAAATATCAGTTGCTCCAAAATAACACGCACTGTTTACTATATGAAGGATAGTAGAGGTACCTCTACCCTCCATAGTTTACACACCGAGCATGCGCACTTTCTACTATTCAGGGTCCCATCACAAGGGACTGCGATGTTGGGTCCTTTATTATTACACAGTATACTTACCTCGGATCTCTCTGTCACACACTTCCACGCGCGTTGAAATTAAAATCTTTAAAATTTGCAACCCCTAATAGGACCGGAATTTTCGCAGACAACCTTTTATCAACGTGTTTGCAATTAAACAGCGCTTATAATACCCAGCATGTCAGTACAAAATAAATGTAACCTTCTATACTGCAACTCAAACAGCTATTCTTCAAGAAAACTGGTAATCAACAATCTCATAGAAGAGTGTGATATAGATTGCACAATGTTTGTAGAAAGCAAAACAAACACAGAAACAAATACAAAATACAAAAATTGGGACGTAATACAGTTCAATGGCAATAAAATCCATAATAAAGCAAGAGGTGGATCTCTAATCCATTCTCATCCAAGACTACAAATGGGAAAAGCTAATCCACCAGCCATCAATAATCCACTCAATGAATGTTTACATTTCACTATTCCATTTGATGATGACAAACTCCATATATGTCTGGTTTACATCCATCCCAGTGCAAGAATAGAAGAAACAATATTCACCAAGGCAAATTGTTTCAAATACTCCTTAATACTAGGGGACTTTAACATAAATAATCGATATAAAAAAAGGCAGCTTTCTAATTTTCTCAATAATTCCACTTTTCGAAAACAGGAAACAGCCCCAACATTCATTATGCCAAACAATAATGATACAACACCAGACATCATATTATATTCCGAAAATATCAAAGACAATATTGAATCCGTTGTAGAGACCCCTGACCTGGGATCTGACCATCTAGCGTTCATAATTACTTTAGACTTGCAAACAAAACCACACAATTATGAAATCCTACGCTACAATTTCAGAAAAACTAACATGGAAAAGGTAAACGAAAATATAATCACTTATTTGGAATCACATGAGAATGAGGACATCACTAGAGAACGGATTTCCAGATTTTCCCAAACTCTAACTTCGATAATACTTGAAAATACTCCAAAGGTCAAGCACACTTTCCAGGCATATGAATTACCACCTTACATTATAACCATGATCAAAAGGAAACGACAAATGTATAGAGACTACAAAGTTATCCAAGATCCCAACCTAAAAAAAGAATTGAACAAATATAATAAAAATATACAACAACTTATACAACAATACAAAACCCATAAATGGATAGAAGTTTGCGAATCCATCAATGAAAAGAAAGGAAAAACCTACTGGCAGGACATCAAAAAATTATCCAAGTATAAATCGAAGAATAACATAGGGACAACATTATCAAATAATGGAAGGCAATATGAAACACCCTCAGAGAAAGCAAATATATTTGCACAACATTTTGAAGATGCATTCAAAGAATCTATAAATGGAAATTTTGACAGAAATCATTATGATACTGTAACAGAGTGGTACAACAACTATTTCAACGCACAAACCATCCATGAAACTCAAACAATTGAGGAAGACGAATATGACGAAATCGTTTATTCAGGAAAGAGCACATCACCTGGATATGACTACGTAACTAAAGATATATTGAGAAAATTGGATAGAAGAGTGCATTTATACATAATAAAAATCTATACATTTTGCATTAACAAACAGTTTGTACCTAGCGAATGGAAAATAGGAACAATAATAACCATACCCAAACCAAACACAGACCACTCTCAAACTGCCAACTATCGACCAATTACGCTTCTGCCGGTCCTTGGTAAAAATTTTGAAAAATTAATCAAGAACAGAATCCAAAATACAGTAGGTAATAGAATCCCAGGATACCAATTTGGATTTAAACAATCACATTCCACTCTCCACCCACTATGCATAGTTGCAAGCAATGTAGAAACCAATAAGCTAAACAGGAGAAAAACTGCAGCAGTATTCCTGGATATCAATAAAGCATTTGATAGTGTTTGGCACAAAGGTCTTCTATTCAAGTTGCATACTCTGGGCTGTCCGAATTACCTGCTATACATCATCAAAAATTATTTACTTAATCGTAAACTCAAAGTGAAAATTCAGAACAGCTACTCCAACGAATTCTCACCAAAACAAGGTCTTCCGCAAGGTTCGCCATTATCTCCAGTCCTGTACAACATCTACTGCTCAGACATTTATCACCATGCCCATCAAGATCCGGAATACTTTAGTCACACAGCATACATACTACAATTTTCAGATGATACAGCTCTGATAACACATGACAAAACTACAGAACAAGCAGTGGCCAATCTCCAAAATTTAATTAACATAACCAACGACTGGTTTAATAAATGGCGTCTCTTACCCAATCCGAATAAATCCCAATTAATTCTGTTTAACCATCGCCTCAAAAATACTTCGCCAACCATAGTCCTAAATCAACAAACCCTTTATCCAAAAGACAATGTAAAATACCTGGGAATCACTTTTGACACCAACATGAACTTCAAGGCACACAGCAACTCGAAGAAGAAGAGCATGATATCCAGAGCGAAACACTTCAGCTGCTTGATCTATCAAGGCAGAGGCATCGATTCCAAAACAGCTGAACGAATCTACAAGACCATATGTCGACACATGATAGAATATGGAAGCATCATATTCCTGAACTGCAAACAACAGGCAATCAATAAATTGAAAGTAGCAGAAACAACAGCTATGAGAAAAATATCTCACCTACGCCATCCCCGTAATTCCCTCCACAACCCCCCGAACCAATTACTATACCAGACCTTGAACATTCCTCCAATAGAAGAAAGAATTCTGGGCCTAGCACAAAGATTCTGCAAGAAAGAAGAGAACTTGGAAATAGTGAGAAGATTCTGTTGCACAAGGGATCCCAACATTCGAAATTCTTATAAATACCCAGAAGAAACCACCCTGGAAAAAATGGAACGCCTTTCCACTGCTAACCACTGAGTTCTCTCATAATTTCTATATTCACAATTTGTTTATTTTTTTTAAGGATCTACTTATTCTAATGTCCTTTTTTTTTTTTTTTTTTTTGTACATTTGTCATACTTATGATAGCCACATAAAATGATGTATGTATTGTTAATCGAAGCCATGGGTAGAAGGACCTCGGTCAATAACCCTCTGGATCATGTTTGGTTCAATAAAGTACTATTATTATTATTATTATTAAGAGATATTTGACTAGAAACATGAAATATTGAATCAGTTGAAGTAAGTGTTCAAAAGATCCTACGTTTCGAGGAATACACGATTCTATATTCTTTTTTTAAGAATGTATTATTCTTCTGAACAGTTGAGGATCAGCTGTTAGGTCATTCAAGTGATGTTCAATTATGTCTCACAACTCTTGACGTCAATTTACCTATGTAGCATAGACTTTCTGCTCAAGATACAACAAAACAACAAAACTGTGTAATCCATGTTCTTAGTCAAATCTGTTTCGATGTTATTCTTGTGATTCATTGTTAAATCAATGAGTTTTGCATCAGAAATGTATTGTTGTTTTCGGTTTTCAATAAATAGGTGATAATTTTTTATACTACTCACTCTAATACATAGCTTTATACCAACAACAGTTATCACTTCATCATTTTCAAATCAAAATATTCCGTAAACTGAAATATTTTTTTTATTTTTTTTATTCACCATAATGTATATTACATTTTATTTTATGTTTTTTTTTAGTTCACTATAGAATAAGAAATACAAGTTCAAACATATGTATAGCCTAATTTGAATAAGAATATACTTCCCGGTGATCCAAAATAATTCCTAAACAGCAATTTGAAGCTTGCTGGTATCGGAATAATGATATTTTCATAACATGACATGTGTGGAAATATAAATTGTGTGATCTCAATGCAATACATGTATACCAACAGATTACTACTGTATCAGCATTAGAACTACATTTAAGTGATTATTTTCATATTTACATCTACTAGTTAACAATAACAATATGTAGATGCTCCAGATAACGTATAACAATAATATAGAATATTGAAATAAAGATAATAAGAATAAAAAGACTATTAGTATTATTTAACAATGGTGAACAACAACAGAGAAAGCAGTAATATGGGGATACCAAAGAGGCCTATATCTAAATTACAATATTATATTACATTTCCAAGTGCCGTTTTAGTTCTTTGTGAAATAAGTTAAAAGTGTCTATATTTTTTATTGTCATAGGTAATGCGTTGTACGACTCTATACTTCTATTCATTGGATTGTTCAGTCCAATTTCAGTTCTAGCATTGCCCAAGTGAATGTTAATCCTGTTTCGTGTGTCATGAGAGTGAATTTGGTAGATATGATCAAGATGACCATTGCATTTTTGTTGGTTGTTCGTGATTTTGTAGATATATTTGCATTGTTCCAGAACCAATATTTTATTAATTTGGGCAATTTTGGTTTGAATGTAAACTTCTTCTGTAGGTGTTCTATTATGAATATTGAATAGTATTTTAACAATCTTATTTTGAATGGTTTGCATCATTTTGAAATTAGTTCTACCCCAGATTGTTATAAGATATCTGAAGTGTGCCAAGAAGAATGAGTTGTAGATTAAGTGGTAGTTACGTTCATCAAGATAATCTCTACATCTATACAGTGCACCTATCATTGGAATCATTTTTGACTTTATATATTCAGTATGTTTATGCCAATTTAGTTTTTCGTCGATCATTAGACCTAAGTACTTAGTACTTTCTACTCTACTTATCAAGTTATCACCAACCTTTAACTGCATTTCTTTGCATTCAGTGTTTTTCTGTTTGAATATCATATAAACTGTTTTCGAAGTATTG